ACATTATTTGAATGGACTAAAGATTAAGATAATTAGAAGTAAAAGGAAGGAGTATAAAGTTGGTTTATTTGATCAAGGGTAAAATAGATTTGTTATTTCTGGCAACCCTTAATGGACTTTTGCTGATACCAGGACTGAAATGATGATGTTTATGGATTTGTTTATAGATAAGAGATGGGACATGGGATGAAGAGATCATTGGTTGTAAATTAAGAAGAGGTGAACAGTTACTAAAACTGTTTATACTTGAAGATTGGAAGTCACTTCTTTATATATTTCCTTCCTTCCTTCCTTCCTTCCTTCCTTCCTTCCTTCCTTCCTTCCTTCCTTCCTTCCTTCTTTTAGTTTGTATTAGTTTTTACTATTGCAATTATCTTTAATAAAATTATTTTTAAAAAATATGTTGTACTTTTGTTTTTAATGTGACTGACATTCTTGGCAAATATGGGATAAATTAAAATAACTATAGTAGCACTTCTGTAGAATGTTTACATGCAATCTCTCAGTAATCCTTACAACAATTCTATTGGTAAGCATATCCTCCATACAGAGTAGGCAGAACAAGGCAGAATAATAATTATCAAGGGTCAACCTAGTACATTCTAAGCCAAAGAAGTACGGGAGTTCAGAACACAAGTTCATTGATGCTATATTGTTCCAGTTCCAATTAACTGCTTGTAGAATTTCTGGAAAGCTCATGGATATGACATCCTTAGATAAAGCAGAAAAAACAAGCAAGATCAAGAATTCATAGTGATAATTGACAATAGTATTTCCACTGAATGGAATAAACAAATGTTTGGAAACAGACCTGACAATTGTTGCCCTGAATAAACTGAGCAGCCATGAAACTCCAGAATGTTTCTTCCCTTCAAAGATTACCAAACAAATAATTTGGAAAAGATTGAAAGCTTTGCTTAGGGATAAGGCCCTTTAGAGATTGAGGGTTCCTCCTACAACAATTCCAGCACCCTTTTCCAGATGTGATCCCAAACAGAATTACCTTATATAATAAGTGTCTGACAGTCCGCTCCTTGTTCCACTTTTGCGCAAGACTTCACGACGCTGCCAGCCAGGGCCTAAGGAAGGACAATCCACCCAGCCGTCTGTCATGTTTTTCTGCTGGGATGGAAATACCATTGAAAGGGCCCTAAAAAGATGAGGAAATGGAAGGGTCATAACAAAGGTTATGCAGCTCGAAAAGCTCACACTGCTATATTCAACCAGGCTTCAACTCCAGGGACTAGTCCAGGCAGTCGCCAGGAGTCAACAATTACTCGAAAGCACCAAAACAAAAAAACAAGGCACAGAATATAACAATGGGCAGCATACATATCAATCCTGTTATTGCCTTTTTGTGGAAACATTATGCAAAATATAAAAAGAAAAGAGGGAAATAATGGTCAAAAGAAATTAAATGCAGGAGATAAGAAAAAGGGAAATATCAAGTTTTTACACCGTCTATTATGCCTCTCGTACTTTTCTATCTTGTAATATTTCCACCTTTTGCTCTTTGAACTTCTCATTTCTCTCTTTCTGGGGATTTTAGCAGGACCATGACTTTCTCAGTCTACGCATCCTCTCAAGCTATTCACTGTTCTTTCATATATTTATTATGCATTTCAAACCTAATTCAAACCTTCTCTCTATATGATTAACCACTTCAACGTACTTCTCACATTCTTATCATTCACTTTTGTATTCAATCTACAGTCATTCATCACCCATTCATTCTTGACCCTGTTTTATTATTTCATATCATACACACTTCTTAAATATCCATTCTCATTATAATCAACATATTTTTATGTTACTACACCTCTTATGTCATAATCAGTTATTTCCATACAACAAAGTTTGCAGAACCATGCACAGCCATTTTCACTTTTGACATTCATTCCTCAGACTACATAATACCCCCATTGATCAATCAATTTTATTTCAATCAACAATCAGGAAATTACACAAAACAAAAAGGAAAACCGACAGCATTGAGACATGTATCAGCTGTTGCTTCATTTTCACTGCAATAAAATAGCTACCATATGGATGACAGAGAATTTCATATCCAAGAGAAGGAAGTTCACATAATAATTATCCATCCTTCCTGGGTATTGACACAGCAAGGGTAAGATCTAAGTATTCAGAATGCCTCTATGGAGATTATAATATAGTAGCACATGGTGAGCTGTTTCTACTTCCCTGAATCTGCATGGGCAGGTGCACTCACTGGCTAGAGTTTTAGAATATGTACCCCTACGAAAGTACAGAGGAAAGAATATTGTATCAAGCCCTGAAAAATGCTTCCCTCAGCCTGTAAAGCTTCACAAGAACCATTTGCAACCCAGCTTTTGTTGCTCTGTGACAACCTGTTCACTTCAACCTGATGCTCCTATCATTAAATATTTCAGAGAATGTTTGCTGGGCCTGTTCATATCCTAAAGAAATCAGAATGCTGCTGGTAACCTTACAGGTAGCCCTCACTTACTGACTGCCTCATTTAGTGACCGCTTGCAGTTATGATGGTGCTAAAAAAACAACTTAACAATCAGTCCTTACATTTACAACCTTCACAGCATCTTGTGCCACTCTTCTGCCAAGAGTATATATTCCGAGCAGGGTCACCCAAGGTGTGAAGGTCCTCCCTGTTACCCAGCTGAAGCAAACAGATACCTATATCAGGCAGCAGCAATATAAGAAGATGCTGGAGGCAGATGATTACTTTAGTGACAATGGCAAAGACATCATTTAATACTGCATGGGAGAAGGCAATTCTTCTGTATTTTACCAAGAAAACCACATGAATCAACAATATAAATTAACAATACAGTGATGGATGATGAGCCCCTTGTCAGGTTCGGTCAGCACGGGGCTTCGGGGAAGCTCTCAGCCACACCACGCGAACTCC